TGCATGCAAGGCAAGTGCTCTACCACTGAGCCACCTTCCCAGCCCCTTTCTTTTTTTTTTTTCTTAAAGTAGAGATGAGTCTCACAGACTTTCCTGCTTAGGCTGGCTTCGAACCTCAATATTCAAACTTCAACCTCCAGAGTAGTTAGGTTGACAGACATGAGCCGCCACCACCAAGCTTTTTTCTCTTTTATTTCAAGGCTATAAAATGGAATCACAATTATCATTTGAGATTGACCCTTTTATCACTCATCATAATTGGAGATATATCAATGTTCTATCAGTTGTTTTTGCTCACAGAGCTGTAGTCTGTGGTATAAATAAATATACCATCATTCATTCATTCATTGAAGGACATCTGGATTATTTCCAGTTTGAGGCTATTATTAACAATGTCACTAGAAACATTTAGATTCAGGTTTTATGTGGACATAAATCCTTCTCTGGGAGAAATGCCCAGGAATGCACTTGCTGGGTTGTGTGTGCGTGTGTGATATGTGTGTGTATGTATTGAACAAATTATCAAAACAGCTTCCCAGACTACCCTTGTGCCTTTTTACCAATAAAGTGTGAGTGACTCATTTTCTAGTTTTTTTTATATATCCTTGATATATCCTATATTTGTTTGGGATAAATTTTTTAAACCATCCTGGTAAGTGGATAGTGAAATGCAATAGGGTTTTAATTTTCATTTAATGGCTATTTTTAATTATTTTTTTTTGTCGGTTGTGGGGTTTGAACTGTTCTCTTCACCTCAAGGCTCATGCTTTACCACTTGAGCCACAGTGTCAATTCCAGTTTTCTAGTGGTTTGTTGGAGATAAAAGTCTCACGGACGTTCCTGCCTGGGCTGGTCTTGAACCATGATCCTCAGATCTCAGCCTCCAGAGTAGCTAGGATTACAGGCGTGAGCCACAGGCACCTGGCTAATGGGTAATTATTTTAGGGTAAGTTTTTCTTAGGTTTAAATACTCTGTATTCTCGATTTGATTTTTTTTAAACCCCATTCATGTAGCAGCCCCATTATCTAACTGGCTTGTTCTTTTGCAGTTGTCTTAAGAGCTTTTTGCTTTTTTTTTTTGGTCAGTTGTGGTGTTTGAACTCTGGACCTGGATGCTGTCCCTAAGCTTTTCAGCTCAAAGCGAACACTCTCTTGAGCCATAGCGCCAAGTCTGGTTTTCTGGTGATGGAGATGGGAGATGGGAGTCTCATAGACTTTCCTGCCCTGGCTGGCTTTGAACCGCAATCCTCAGATCTCAGCCTTCTAAGTAGCTAGAATTACAGGCATGAGCCACCAACACCAGCTCAAGAGCTCTTTAAGCCTTCTAGATACCTATCTTCTGTTTGATATGATTTACAAACATGTCCTCTATATTTATGAAAAAAATCTCATTAGATGCATTACAAAGGCTGAACTGTCTATTCCCATAATGTCCAAAAATGAACTTAAAGTCAGCAACTTCTGAAAACTAGTCTTCTTGCTGCCAAACCAAGCAAAGTCCTGTTACTGTTAAAGTAGTATTAGGACGGATCGCAGGGTATAGACATTCTCCATACCTACATTCTCTTCCTTCAAGCCAGAATAGGGGAAGAGCCATTATAAAAATTGAATACTAGCCAGGCACTCATAGTTCATGTCTGCAATCATAACTATATGGGAGGCTGAGATCTGAAAGAATGAGATTCTAAGCCAGCCTTAGCAAATAAGTCCAGGAGACTCCATTTCAACCCAAGAAACTGGGTGTAGTGGTGCACACCTGTCATCTCAGTTATGATGGAAACCCTAAAACAGGTAGATTGCAGTCCAGAAGTAGTGAGATCACTACAACCACAACTACCACACACACACACACACACACACACACACACACACACAAAGAACAGGAAGCATAGCTCAGCTAGTTCAGCTATAGAGCAACTGCTCATTCAGCAAGTGCTAGGTCCTCAGTTCAAACCCTAGTACTGAGTTAAAAACAAGCAAGCAGGCTGGGAATGTGGCTTAGTGGTAGAGTGCTTGCCTCTCATGCATGAGGTCATGGGTTTGATTCCTCAGCACCACATACACAGAAAAAGCGGTCCTGTGGCTCAAGTAGTACAGCACCAGCCTTGAGCTGAAGAGCTGAGGGACAGCACCCAGGCCAAGAGTTCAAGCCCCATGACTGACAAAAAAAAAGCAAGCAAGCAAACCAACCAAATACTAACATGTTATATACCAAGACAGAGTTCTTCAAGATTCAGCCATCACAAGGGAAAACATTTAAGATTAGGTAGTTAAGAAGTCTTCCTGGAGAATATTTTTCAGGTCTAGTTTAAGGAAACAATATCTTTGTCACAGTTCACAGCAGGTCCTTTCTTATATTACAACATGTTCTCCAAATTCTCCTAAATTTCATTCCCCTCCTACACTTATACTTCTTCCACCATATAATAAGGTGGAAATGTGGAGATGGGGCTTTTCTGGTAATTTTCCCCAGGAATCCCATATGTTGCCCAGTTGTGTTTGTGTGAGCGGCTTTTTGCCATTTTGCAATACCAGCCCCTGCAAGTTAGCACTACTACAGTTCCCAGATGGATCTGAATTCTTGTAGTTTGGTGCCTTTTGTAGGTATTAGATAAAGGCAAACAAAGTTCTTGAGACAGTGGCAAGCAAAAAATAAAGCATAAACATTATTTTCATGATGCTAAATCCTTTCATATTATTCCTAAATCCTCCTTTTACACAAAAGAAGGGAGCTAAAGCAGGAAAGATATAAACCTATAACCTCAGCACTCAGAAAGTTGAGATGAGATAAAATGATGGCAAGTTCCAGGATTGCCCAGCTATACAGGAAGACTCTGTCCAAAAAAAATGGCAGGGGGGGAGTCAGTCACCTGACAGCAAATAAGGGAGAAGGTTAAAGATACCTGATTAACAAAAGGAGGCTGTAAAGATGCCTGGACATCAACAATGAATGCAGTATCATTTTACCTTCACAAAGGAAAGTCCCAAGTGTTAGAAAAGGTGCTATATATCATGAAAGTTTTAAGAGGAGGAACTCAGTAGTAGAGCACAGTGCTTAAGATGCTTAAGGCCCTGGGTGAAATCCCCTTCACCAGAAAAACACACAAATCTTTTAAGGGAAAACAAAAGCACAGTAGAAACCAATAAAGACTTGGGAGAGAACTGGAACAGCTACTTTAGTTAGTGGGATATTCATGATACCACACTACTTTTGAGGATAGTTTATGGGTTCTTTCTAGATAGTGAAGTCCAGACAAAAAGTCCCAAGTGTTCGGTAGCTCATACTGGTAATCCTAGTTACTCAGAAAGCAGAAATCTGAGGACTAGTAGTTCAAAGACTGAACAGGAAAGTCTGAAAGACTCAATGACAACCTTGAGTGACAAAGCTAAGGGAAAGCACCCTGACCTTGAGTTCAAGTCCTAGTACTGGTGTGCACCAATGTGCATGCATGCACACACACAACTGTCCAACCTTATATAATAAAAGACGTTAAAATGTTAAAGCAACACCTCACCTTAATTTTAAGTTTTAATCTTGCCCAACATTAACAGCACGATTCATTTATTCACGATTGTTCTTATTGAAGACATTTTTTTTCTCACTGATTTAACCAAAGACATTAGGGTTTAATCAGTAAAACGAATGGTTAGCAAGTTTTTTTAAAAGACTCTGAAGACAAAATGATAAAAACAAAACCTCGCATAAATCATAAGACTAAAATCAGAATTTGTGGAGATGGTTCCATCTGAGGGAGAAGTCTATTTCTCTCTTTTCCATTATTTACACTCTTTCATTTGGCTTTAGCACCACCAGGCCTGACAAAAACCACTAATTCGCACCTAACCACTAAGGCCTTGTTCCGCTGTTTGGTAAGTCATTAGCCAGAGACATTCTCTGGAGCACTCGCAAATGTGCCTAATCACAAATGTAGATATGAAAACACACTGGATTTCAACTAACCTGAAAAACAGGAGAAAGAGCTCTCCATTTACATCTTTATGCTAATTACATGTTGAAAAACTGATTTTAAAACACATTTTGGGCCTATTGGGTTAAACAAATAAAGATGAATTTCACCTGGCTTCGGTTGGCAGGGTTTACTGGCTTCCACATTTATAAATGACAGGAGCTGAGCATTTGTATTGTAATTCGACCAGACATGACAGGTAGCAGGGGAACCGGGAGGGAGGGCCGGACGGAGGGGAGACACGACCGAACCGAGTGCACGGTCTCACAGTTTCTGGAAGAGCAAAGGGGTGGGTGCGCCTCTCCGGGGTGCCCACCTAGTGGGCCCTGGGGGGGGGGTGTCCCCGCGCTCCCGTCCCCGGGCGCTCCCGTCCCCCGCGCAGGCCAGGCCGCGGACGGCAGGGCTTCCCCGCCGGGCCCCTTTCCC